TCGATTTTGTTGATAGGATCAACTGTAACACTCCGAGGAGACAGCCCAGTAGAAACGCGATGGGGGTGTCAACTGGCCGGGCGTTGAAGGCAAAGGGCCCAACTGATGCGCTAGCACAGCCGTGGGCGAAGATGAGGAACAGAATGTGAAATTTGCTCGGCTTCTTCATAACCTCATCGAGCCGCTGTATTGCCTCTTCAACCCCAATGACATCGTGAATTACCTCCTTATAAATCTCATGCACATCGGCCAGCTTTCCCAGGTCAATGCCTTGACTGGACCGGATAACCTTGACCTCTGTTGTGTGTGTCGAGGCATCGTCAAAGGAGATGATCATGCAGCCGGGTATATACAAAAACTGGCCATCAATTTGGATGACACTAGCTGTCATGCGCATATATTCCTCCAACCGATGAGTTGGAGCTCCATACTTCATCAAAGCACGACAAAGCCGGATCAAGTACCGTTGTCGACACAGAAGCTCGGCAATATGAACGGTGATATGAATTTCATCCTCAAGCTGAGGCTTGGGACGTGAGCGGCCTATGCTCGGAATGGCAGAACCACTGCTGCGAGACCGCGTGAGCATGGTACAAGGAGAGCCAAAGTGGCGAGATGAGTCGGCCAAGGAAATGCTGGAACGAGCAGTAGATTTGTCGTACCACTTCCTGTGCGGTTTCCACACAGAGTCCGGGGACAGGCCGCGTCCACTGAACTCGGAAGAGCTCCCCTGCCGAGAACGCCCATACCGTCCTCGGCCTTGATCGTGGTTATAATGAGGCTGGTCGTAGAGCTTGAGCAGCGATGAAAGAATGCCTCCGTGGTAATGCGATTTCCGTTCAGCAGACTCGTATGAGTCCCTATCCTCGCTGGTGGTGTCTTGGTCACTGGAGTGCGAACCGGGAGACTGGGGGCGAAGGCGAGTCAGAAAGTTGAGATCTCGAGATGACATTTGCACTAGTGTTGATCGCCCGTCTAAGAAGTCCGCTTCATGTTCATCTATTAAGTTGTTGAAGAGTTGTTGTTTCTCGGGGAAGCTTATAACAGGACGTTTATCTCCATCTTCAGTTTGGTACGCCACCTCGGCAGGAGCGGAGGCAATTGAAGACACTATACTGCACCGAGGACTTTGCTTCGGAGAATTTTGGTGGCAATTGAGAAGGGGTGTGAACCTGTGGGCCCTTTCATGTGCAAAGCAGATGGATCGCCCCTTGTCATTTGTACCCTGACCAAGTTCATATTCCCCTAGAGTTCCCGGGGAGGTAGACCTGGTGTTGATCGTCAAACCGGTAATATCCACTGACGCGCTAGAGTGATCGTCTTGCAGCTCCGGTGCTAGCTGGGAGCTTGAAGAGACTTTTTCTTGGAAGGCCGGAATGTTGGCAGTGGGTAATGGTCTTTGCGGCAGCTCGGTGCCCCTTCGCTCCAGTCGGAATTTGACCATGGACCCAGTGGGTTCTCTCGGCTCAGACTTGCTGGCCGTATGCTTGACACGATTCGTGCTTTTCAGAATGCCTGCATTCCGATACTTGTCCTGTGCGCTAGCGTCACTGAAGCTCCTCACCTGAGACACTGGTTGACCTTGGAAGCTATCACTGGGCAGTGATGATGATATAAAGTAACGCGGCCTTGATAGGCTTGACGATCCTTCATCGGAGGCGTTGCGGGAGATCGGAAGGTCAAAATAACCTCCCGCCATTTTGGTGTAATCCTTTCTCTCAAATTGGTATCTACTTCTTGGTTACGCAATAGAACTCACAGACCCCCTGGGTGACCGAGCTCTTAGATAAAAGCACGGATAGCGCGGTTCATGTGCCCAGGTGGTCAACTGTAACCCAGCAACAGTCAGCTATGTGGGATAGCATGGAGAGAGCTCTAGTGACTTTGTGAATTTCGGCAACCAAACAGATAGTGAGCTCACCTCGTTCAACGTAGAAGCATAAGAAAGGAGGAAGAGGCACTGGTGCCAATACCAAAAAAAAAAAAAAAAAAAAAAAAACAAGAACTGGCACGAACATGCACGAACATGCACGCCAGGTCTAGAGCTTCTCGGGGAGAGGGGTTGAGATCGGAGGGAGTCCCGCTAGGTATGAGAACTATGTCATGTGTACATAATTAGACATGGGGTATTGTATCGGCAAATAAGAACATATGCAACCTCGGAGGAAGGGAGAAGGAGAAAAGAAGTCAGGCAAGGCAAATCAATATAAAAGAGACAGTGGACACGAAGTCCGGGATGCAGGAGTTCCTCTATTCACGAAGATCCTCTCGGATAGAGACAGGACTAAAATAAAAAGATAAAAAAGGTCTTTTTCCAGTTTGCTGGGCAGCACACGGACCGTATCAAGAAGAGTCAGAGGCCCAATGAGACTGCACTGGAGGAGATTTCTTTTGGGCCATGATGACCCCGTGTAGCCGTAGCGGCGCCATCCCCATGTCAGGTTCTCACGGGTTTTGCCATTTTTCCTCGATGGTCAATCAGCAGGCAAGGTTGATGGCAAGAGTGAACAGCCGAGGTATGGAACCGACAACCAGAATGGTGAATGGATAAGGTACATTCCCCCTTGACCGGGTATATTGCGGGAGATTGGCACCTTAGTTACGCGAGATCCGGCTCACTGTCCGAAAAGGGATTGGATCGTCATCACAACCGACGTTCTTGATCGTATATTGTCGAACCTCGCCGAAATCTTGACCGTTGGCCGAGCAGAAGATCCCCCAAATGGGAGAGAGACAAGGGGACCGAGCTCCTCGTCGAAGAGGCCAGGGGTTTCACAGGCCCATAAAGTCCCACAAATCCGCAGAGTCAAAAGAATCTGATGGCCGCGTCAGGTTAAAGGGGAGGTGTGTGTGTGTGTGTGGGTATTAAGACATGGGCTGAAGAGGGATCTTCATGATCGGAGGTTGAAGAAGATCAGTGGAGCAACTCTTTTTTTTAGCGCAGATTTACCTTCTCATTATTGACTTATATTGTCCTTCTTTTTCTGCTTTGGTCCACATTGACCTCTGAAATACTATTACAAAAAAGTCCAAACCATCCCTTGTGTTTCTTTTGACATCAAGGGAAATCACCCGACAGGCGAAACATCTCCGTCATGCAAGATACCTGCAAGATACCTGCTTTTCACTAGTTCCTGATTGATTTGACCAGTCAGGAACCGCACAGAGATTCCAGCCTATCTTATTATCCACTTACATACTATAATTCTGCATCAATACTCGGGATTTGAAGATACCTATCACACCATCGGGGAAGAATCTCATATTGATAGCCAATCTCCCTCCCTTCCGACCGGGATCTCCACCGAGAAGCAGATGAATACTCATACCGCGAGTCGACAACCGGGAGACTTCCGAGACCCGACTTGGTGTCCATCCTCAGAGGGGATGTTGAAGGTTTTTGGTCTGTCCCAGTAATGTACAAGGTGCGACAGATGAAAAGGTTGCACTAATATCTGAGGAAATTTTTCTCTTTCCCTGCTTTTCCCAGTGCTAGAACGCTTCAATTGTCTATAGGAGAGTTGAACAGGCACACATGCACTCCTGAGTAGGCTCGAAACGGCCCCCCTACATTATTGACCAATATCCCAACCATGAGCTACTATCTCGCGTCATTGTGCCACCTAAAGATGTCAGATGTTTATCTTGGTAATGATTATTACCCAACATATACTGCCTCAGAAAGCTACGTCAGGGGAGCTTGTGGTTTAAGCTTACAGATGTGGCTGTCACTATTTCTGGATCCGTGCTAGTCATGATTAGCAGTCAGGGGGAGACAACCAGGGCCCAAATTGTTTCTCGGGTGTGGCAATCGAACGGTACTTCTAGCTGGATGCCGTGTAAGGTGACCTTTAAACCCGCTGAGAGGATATCAGATGGAACTAGGATTGTCTCTTCCGAGGTACTTGTTATCAAACGTAAATTATACTCGATATAATCTGACATTTGTTTCCATTCCCAGATTAGATCCGCATTTCACACCAAAACTGTAGAAGCTTGATTAATATGTATTTCTTCACCTCTATCTCATCCTTTCATGCATCAATGCGACCGCACAACCATCCGTGCTACCCTCTCCCTCCCTTTCAGTCACACGGCCCTCTTCCCCGAGCAGCCGTACCGAAAATAATGGTGTGACCTTCAACGACGCAGGGACCAGCACTTAAGCTTGGACTACATAGTTGACATAAATACTATACTGTCTATGTGAGACGCATGTGCCACGGAGGTCCGGCTACTCTATCCTCGGGTAGACACAGATAAAGCTGCTTTAATTCCAGGATTCCTGCCTGGCCTGAGTAAATGTTTTTCTTCTACAATCACCCATTGTGACATTAAACTTTCCGCATGTTAAAACGAATGTCCCATTTACACGTCTAAGCTTAAGCTTAAGCTCTCGACTAAAGTATATGTTTTGCCGATGAACAGTGTCTTGGTTTACGTGTTGAATATCCCTTTTCATTATGATATATTATCGACATTGGGTTGACTGTAGAAGTCTTGTCAACTTAGGGTTTATATCAAGGTTTTTTTAGGCCGTGGTCGTACCATGGTTCATGATATGCAACGCAAGCCTCAAAGATCTCACGTACTCCAGAGCCAAAACTATATAGGTAAATGCAGTTAACCCCCTTGTATACCATGGGTTGTTTGATGTTGGCAAGGCAAATAGCCAAGATTAGAACTGTGTCGGACACGGTACCGTCTACACCCACGCAATACTATTTATTGGCTTCACTCTACGTGCCAAGAGATTAATTTCACATTCATTGTGTTGAAATTAAGCTTTATGTATGATCAGAAGTCAAGAGCCATCAAACAGCTAACAATATTTACCTCCCTCGGCCCGCTATCTGCATCCTTTGCTTTCTAATAAGCACGCCACTAAACGCATCACTCTCGCCGATAGTGACCATTTGGGATGTGAGTCCATGGTAGTGAATTCTACACCTAGATTTTATTTTGCCTTTTGACAAAAGGGTAAATAGAATCCGAAATAGTTATGTAGATACTCCGAGCTCGGAGCCACCCTCCATAATTTTGAGCATACAACCCGGCTCTGTAACTCTGTGGCGATAAAGACTAAGCATGAGATACATGGTGCATGAAGGCCACGGGCCTTCGAATGTGGTGTAGCGCGATTCACGCTGCCGTTTCGCATTGATATCAACCTCACGAGTAGTCATGGTTACCTCAGATGGCTTTTCTCTAGAGTGCCTTATAAGGACCTTTTGACCCATGATTTATGCAGTCCTTACTTTCTGATCACAGGTTTAAACACTAAGCCCAAAAAAGAGATATCAATCATAGAAGACGCTTCTTCTATTTACAATTGTCGAGCGATACCTACCTAGGACTCATTAACAGGCCGAGTAACCTGGTGTTCCACGTGGGCCATTGTAGGACAACATTGGGATTATGGTAGGGCTTAAGAAGCATACATGCATAATCCGAATAAGTTGTTGGATTTGTTCGACTAAGAAACCTCTTAGATACCGGAATCGTTCATGGAGTATGATCAACATAGCCAAATACAGAATAGATACTTCAAACAAGATCGGACATTTGCTAAGGTATTCACCGAGGTGATCTGAGCTCAAAAAAATGCACCGGGGAGAGCTGTCTGTACATAACCAGATGTACATCAGAAGCCAAATAGAGAAGAGAAAAGAAGACAACATGGCATAGCTGGTGTCTCTCTAATAGTCTCAAGCTCATCCTGTCTTATCCGAGGAAATAGGGCCGGTCTGCCCAGCCTCAGCTGTAATGAAGCCAGGCGACAAAAGGATAGAACGTAGTGGATAAAGTTGAAGAGAAGCAGAAAGAAAAAATAGAAATAAAGTCATTTCAGACCAATCAAGATCTTTCGTCACAAAAACATAAACCTTGGCATGAGTCGCCAGCAATAGTGGTAATGAGAAAAGGAATGGTAGTGGGTCAGCCACTTTATGACCTGTTGAACAGGGCCCCACAGGCAAAGAAAGACAAAAGCCAACCCATTCGGCAAAAAGAAAAACATAAAGGAAAGGTCATACGTCGCTGTCACGTGATGTTCGGCATTACATGAAGGGTGTCTTGCGTTTTTCAGCGCTAGACAACACCAGCATTGGCGTCTTGCGCCGTTCTGGTGCCTGGACTGCCGGCCCCGGGCCAGCAACAACGGACGCCACTGACGGCGACGAGGTGCCACTAGCACTAGGCGAGGGAACATAGTCCCCACGAGCATCAACAAACTTTGAGCAAAAGTAGCCACCGTCCTCGCTAGTTGGAGTGGCACTGTGGAAAGGACTGTCCGGGGACTTGCGATCCCGGCCAGATTTCTCCCTTCTCTCGGACCCAATAGCACCATTAGCAACCGCTCGCAGGCTACCTAGACTAGGCTTGCTGGAAAGGCTTCCGCCACTGCGCACGGTGGCATCATCGCCATCCGAGAAGGTAAACTCTTTCTCACTCGCAGGGGTATTAGTGCCTCCGCTGCTATGGTATCCAAAACTGCGTGTGTCGCCACGACGCTCAATCCCTGCGCGGACAAGGTTGTGAACGGCACGTCGTCGCTGACGGGTCGCGAAGTTCTTGCTACCCTCGTGCTTGGAAGTGGGCTTGGCCACGAGATCCTCAAGCGAAGGGGGGCCACGGGGCTGACGCATCGGATGCTCACCAACACGACTTTGACCGGGTCCAAATGTTCCAGTGGCCGGTGTCGGCGGCAGGGCAGCAGACCTAGGGCCGGGTCCCACATTGGCCTTTGTAGTATCGATATTCGTCTTGATACTGGGGTTAAACGAAAGGTTCTTGCGGTGGCCTCGGCGAAGGGCATTCACAGATGATTCGTGGGGCGGAGATGGGCTGCTAACTGGAGGGGAAATTGGCTGTGGGAATTGCATGGGAGATTGCGTAGAGTCCGCAGGCGGAGAAATCTCTGCACGGAATTGGGGAACTTGCTGGCCAATATGGGACTGGTTATCTTGATAGAACTGTTGCTGGCGATCTTCCTGGGAGTTGTTATCCATGATGTAGCTTTGTTGACCAGTCAGAGGATTGTAGACGCAAAACATTCCAGGTTGACCAGGAACCGGTTGCACAATGGGCTGAACGCCTTGTTGGAGCTGCTGTTGATAGAACCCCATGCCAGGAATGGAGAGCGAAGGCATATGTTGTTGCCGAGGAAGCGACATCCCAAGGTTGAGGCCTTGGAATTGCTGAGCTGCAGCAGTGACACTGATCAACTGCTGTTGCAGACGTTGCTGCTGCGCGGCAAGGAATAGGTTGGTTGACATCAATTCTGCATACATGTTCTCATCGATTGGAATATCGCCACCGGCCATTTCAAGCATCGGGGGTGCAAGGACCTGCTCTGGCATAGTGTACATCATGCGGTTGTGGTGCGAGTTGTTGCGGTGCGAGTTCGTGTTTTGATTCGTGGTGTAATGGTGTTGTGGGAAGCCAGTTCCGGTCGCAGTTTGTGGGACTCGGTCGGCCCCTCGGTTGGAATACCCAGTGAACCGTGAACCTTCCATTCCGCTCCGCTGCTGATGTTCCGAGGGGATTGTCGCAGATTTGGGAGCAGTGCGCAATCCAGCCAAAAGATGAGAGCGACTGGTACGCGGAGTGGAGACAGATGCCGATGCCTGGGACTCGTCGATGGTAGCAACCTGGGGAGGCATACTCAAACGCTTGATGTGAGAGCCTTTGCCGCGCGAGGCGAAGCCAGAGCCCGGCACGCCCAGGGAATTGCCATTGTTGAAGGAAGGATTGTAAGACATTTGAGACATTTGAGCAAGACCGCCAGCGTCCATACTCATATTCGTTTGGTAGAGGTGGATTGTAGGTATGTGCAATAGAATGCAAGCGAGACAAGTGGTGTGTTTTGACGTCCGGATTCGACGTGAGCGTTTGGGGTCAACCACAAAGCTGAACTCACTCCCCGGCGATTAAGGAATTATGGTGTCTATGCAAGAGCGAGCGCTGGAATAAGTCTGCAAGATCGAGATTCAACGACCGAAAAAGAAAACGTGGACGGGAGAGTCAGGTTTTCTGTATTCAGAAACTGGTCAGTAAGATCCAACGGGAGAAGGCAACAACACGTACCAATCACAGGTGAAGATATGCAAATAAATCGAGTGAGTGGCTAGCAATAAAGATGACAGATGCTAGAAGAACCAAGCTGTACAAGTACTTGCTGGGGTTGAAAGTCGCGAACCCGACCGAGGAATAAATCTTGAGGAAGCTGAGGAGGTGGAGATGATTTGACGACAGACACCTCGAAAGGGGAAAAAAATAACAATTAAGAGGATATTTTTGAGGGGAAGAAAGCCACGCGTGAGGCAGTACCAGGAAGAAAAGATAAAAATGTCCGGGGGAGATGCTCTGCAAATCCTAGCCGAATAAAAAAAAAATAAGAGAGAGTAGTTCACGCGATACCGAAGATCGAAGGCTGAAACACTGAAGCTTGCGACCAAACCACTCAGTGCTAAGCGAATAACTGAGGCGAAAACAAGTTCAGGGATCCGGCCGAAGAGATGATTATGCCTCGAGGCAATCAAAATATAGAAGTGAATTCGGGTCTCGGCCAAACGCAACGGTTTTTCCTCAGGGGGGGCGGAACTAATCGGGACTATTTGCAAAGTGGATAAATGCTTTTTTGGTTGTTTTCCATGAAATGAGAAGAGCTGCAGAGAAAGAAGGAATGCAGAGGGGAAAAGGAAAAGAAAGAATCGAAGATTAGATGGAGGGTTGAGATGTGAGAGAAGAAGAAGAGAGAGATGGTGGATGGCCTAGGCGGGGATTGTTGCCGTATTTCCAAGGCACCAACTGAACACAATACTCAAATAGTACTAGCGTCCTTTTTCCAGGCACAATTGCTTTGAAAGAGAAATATCAACAGGATATCAACAGACTCACTTTGTAATCTTATTTTGTTTTATTTCTCAGGCTTGGGCAAATTTTGGATAATTCACTCTTTCTCAGCTTTACCTCTACTCTAGGCTAATATTCTATTATTTTGCCTCGACCGACTGATCATAGCTGACAGCACAGAAGAACACCCATTAGGGAGATCTAACTGGCTCGTCCAATTGACCAATAAGAGACACACCCAGACCTGAAGTGATCCCCCGTCACATCCCGAGTCAAATCATTGGCTGCTAGCCACTAGCGGCGCGACGTGGCCCCCCTCCACGCCTGACAATGCCCCTAGAGCCGCTCGCCGCTGATGCCAAGCTGCCAGCGCCAGCCAATGGGTTTACCTGGACTTGCTTGCTTCTAGTTCATAACTCGATCAGATCTCATTATGATCATTGGTATAACCTTGTTCATGCTATTATACGATGACGATGAATTCCGAAATCGAGTTTAGCGTGTCATTCCGGGGTTCATTATTCTTCTGGTCTTGAACACCCCGGGATGTAATATTTCCTGACTGGCTTTGCTCCCATGTAGCCTTAGATATCCTCTAGATCTATGAGATGAGTAGGAACGTAGGGGTTGCCTCATGTACTGTAAATTGTCTTGGGCTATCTTTAAAAGGCAACGGACGCTTGAAGTCCACAGAGGATCTGTAGAACACTGTCTGCCAAATTGATGCGGAGTAGAAATCTAGGCTCTACATATGTACAATTCCCATCACATGCTTTCTCGTGTGATACATCGCACATAAGAATCATGTGACGTTATGCATATTGTAGGAAAGACCTTCCCCTGAATCATGAAACGAGTACAGAGTACAAGAAGAGAAGGGATCGGGAGCTAGCATGATTGTGATATACGACAGACACAGGCTACGAAGATCTGGATTATTAACTGTAGAATTTCACGCAAACGCTGGTATAAACCACGCCTTTTGCAATCCTCAATGAATCATACATGTATAACGTACACCTCAGCCCTCCTGGCTTCGTATTTCGCATCTCGCCCGTTCGGAAACTGTTGTTCCCCACGTTGTATGTACAAGATACAAGCATTCTCATGGTCTGTACAGATGCACATGAAAAAAAGAGTTAGACAGCGTGTGCTCGCATTGTCTGCCCGTGGAGTCATAATGCCAGTCAGATGGAGGAAAGGGCCCAAATCACAACCAGATGAGTTGATGAGCCATGAGAAAAAGAAAAAAAAAGATAAAACAATGATACTAAGAAGAAAAAGATGAAGATGCGGGGTATCTGCTGGCTGAGATAATGTGCCAGAGGAA